GAACCCGCCACTTTAGGTGTATGTGGCTGGCGCCTTAGCCACTTGAGCCACAGGCGCTGAGCCCCTCAGTGTGATTTTGTAAGATGTATATGGAACTATTACATAGAGATTGCTATTTTTGTGGTGTTCATTATCCTACATCTTGGGGCTGCCATGCTAGTATGGAATCTCCTTGGAGCAGATTTAGCTTCAGACATTGGAAGTCAGTCAGTTATACCATTGTTACGTGGGAGATGAGTTAATATCTATGGTTTACTATATGTAATCTAAAAGGGCAGAAACTATTTATTATAAAGTCTGGGACAGGAAAGAAATAGAGGATATTGGTAATTAGGCCTGTGCCCTGTGGGAGCTGTTTTTCTATGCATTCCAAAAATAGTTGAATGCTCAGGAGGTGTATAGTACCAAGTAGGGATTTCAAGTTAAGTCTGTGGGCTCAGAAGGGGTTTGTGATTTGTTGTGAAGTTTAAATTAATGTGTACTTGGGAAAAGTAAACAGTGCAAGGCGTTTTGTAATTTCAAAGTTTGTCTTTTGAAATCATCGCTTCATTCAGACTGCTCCAGCTGGATATTCTGCTGCCATTTCAGACTTAGCTGTTTCTCCATTTCCGGTCCCAGTATCACAGTTTCCCCTATCACTTAGGGTCAGAACCTATCCCATCACTGCTTTCTCCTCTTCCTTAAATCAGGTTGCTCTTGTTATATCTCTTGTGTCTGCCCATCCTTTCACTTCTTTTGGGTATCCTGGTTTCTGACCCAGATGATGACAGCTCTGAATTATGATAGGCCTGGTCTCCCTCTCCTTGCAGGCATCTATCTACAGAATCACCACCTGTTTATATTCCTGGTGTGGCACTTCCTGAAACAGACCTGCTTGCCCCAGGGAACTTTCAGTAGTTCTGTATGGGCTACAGCAGAGTTTTGTTTGTTTGTTTGTTTGTTTGTTTGTTTTTTCTTCTTTTTTTCCTTTTTCTGGGTTTGTTTTCTTTTTAACTGGAGGTACACGCCCCTTGAACTGTGGTATAAAATAGCGTAAGCACACAGCTTTTGTTAGAGTCATCACAGTTACTGTGAGCCACTAATCTGGAGATCATGTTTAGCTTTCTAACTTGGCCATTAGGGCTTTCCCAGTCTACACTCAAGCTACCTTTGTGGCTTTTTTTTTTTTTTGGAGACAGAGTCTTACTATGTTGCCCTTAGTAGAGTGCTGAGGCGTCTCAGCTCACAGCAACCTCAAACTCTTGGACTTAAGTGATTCTCTTGCCTCAGCCTCCCTAGTAGCTGGGATTACAGGCACCCACCACATGCCCAGCTATTTTTTTGTTGCAGTTGTTATTGTTATTGTTTAGCTGGCCTGAGCTAGGTTTGAACCCACCAGCCTCCGTTCAAACCATTGTGCTGCCGGGGCTGAGCCTTTGTGGCCTTTCTTACAGTGTTCTAGCCCTACTGTTTTCTTGTTCTTGACCTAATTAGCTTTAGTTAGCTTTTCCTGCCTTTCACTACCCTATTATATTCATTACTTTAGAAAGGAAATTACCTGTTGCCCCAGGCTAGAGCTAGCCTAGCTCACAGCAACAGCAAACTCCTGGGTTTAAGCAATCCTCCTGTGTCAGCCTCCCAAGTAGCTACAGGCAACTGGCTAATTTTTCTATTTTTGGTAGAGATGGGGTCTCGCTCTCTCATAGCTCACTGTAGCCTCAAACTCCTGGGCTCAAGTGATTCTCCTGCCTTAGCCTTCTGAGTAGATGCGACTACAATATG